CTAAGACGCCCTGTATTTGCAGTTGTTACCGTGACGATTCTAAATCTACAATGATTCGAATTGTCCAATGCAGAGAAAATTCTTACGTCTCCCACACACTATTCTTCGCAATATATGCCAAAATCAATACTACCCACGTGTTCAGAACGACCACTAGGAATCCTTTGTATTCACTTGTGCTAATTTATAACTGAGACTGCATAAGATNAAAAATAAGGAGTTTAGACAAAAGTTGTTGTTTTTACTTATTACGCCCCGTATTTGCAGTTGTTACCGTGACAGTTCTAAATCTACAATGATTCGAATTGTCCAATGCAGAGAAAATTCTTACGTCTCCCACACACTATTCTTCGCAATATATGCCAAAATCAATACTACCCACGTGTTCAGAACGACCACTAGGAATCCTTTGTATTCACTTGTGCTAATTTATAACTGAGACTGCATAAGAAATTAAGTAGATGAAAAACAGGCACCCTTGATCTAGATTGAAGATGAAAAACAAATATAATCCATTCCTATTTTTCATGCAATATTTAATAAGCGTTCCAATTTTATTTATAACAAACTATCGTTTGTTATAAATAATAAACAAATTAAAATAATCCTCATAAGTATAATTTAAACGATCTCCAGCCATTTTTATATAAATTTTCAGCAAAAACTATTACATATAACAATAATTTGACAACTAACTTGAGAAATGTCAAGTTATTTTAATTATTTTGGAGTGTTTCTAGTCATAGCCAATTTGACAACAGGTCTGATATGAGCAAAAGTACCAAATAATAGAAAATTGCAAATATCTCTAAAAGTAGTAAGGCAACCCTAACAATGCTTATATGACTTAAAAGCAAATTTCAGTCATACAACAGAGTGAAATAATTCCATTTAAGTTAACAAAGTTATAGCTGTTTTAGTTTATCACAATGTAACAGCAAAAATGAAACACCTAGTATTAAAGGTTTTAATTAGTTGCTATACCATAATGTAGTGTTAGGTACCTATGCCCTTTACAGGTACCAAAAATCCACTTGATATCACGCTCCTGAAAATAGTTACTAGCATCTCCTCGGACTCTTGCATCTGTCAAATTTTTTCTTTAAATTTAATATCTCAAAATCTATAACTTCTGGGTATAGGGGATATTTAATAAAGTGACCTTCAAATTTCACGTAGAATCCGATAATGCAATAATATATAGGGTGTCCCATTTAAAATAACGAAGTTGGTGTCGACTTCCGGTATAACCGGAAGTGCTGAAGAGTTCTAGATATTTTAGTTGTGTTCGCCCTAGGGACATTGCCATGTTGCCAAATTTTCAAATTTTTCGGAGCAGTACTTTCCTAGATATCGATCGAAGCATTTCGCGAGGGGACACTCCGTATAATTTATATATCAATACAAAAAATTACAATTTTAGCTTCACTGCTTCAATGGAGGGTTTGTAAAGGAAGATAATTATGATTGATAACCCTTAAATGTAGGCCACTACTTAGAAATATAAAATACACACAATGTCACAAACGTACGCTTGAATAAGCCACTACCGGGGACTGATACAGGGTTATCCTCGAAATATTTGAAATATGCGATAATAAACCTAACTTCAGGTCGATGCTAAGCCCGTTATTTGAACTTGGATACACTTTTTACTATTATTTGGAAAGTAGAACCAGAGTCAATGTCAAAAAGTATTGAGGAACATATAAAACGCATGCAAAGCGTTCGGTTATCTTGAGCAAGCCTTGTAAAACTACAATGGTCACCCTGACACGCAATATGAGTATTATCAAGTCGCAAAGGAAACATAAAACGCCTACGATTATATTTATTCACGCTTCCACACCGAGACCTATTTTACAAAGAATATTTTCCTCGCTCTTCAATTTACTCGTATAATTAGTGCATTTATGAAGATTTGCGTCAAAGCCCGATAAAAAAGCGTGTAAAAACAAATACGTTTCACAAAGGAACACCGGTATACAAGCCATTAACTTCGATAAAGCAAGCAAAGTCTACTTCATATGGGGGTACGTACATTACATTTCACAATTTCTTATCACGACCATCTCGACTGGTTTATATAAATTAACGTTCTGAAATCTAAATTGCTGTCTATGTTTTCACGCAGATTGTTGCTATGCTAGGATATAATCGCCCTAAGATCAGGTCGGGTTTCATATAGTTACCTGCTTACTTAACACGAAATATTCAATTGTGATACACAAACTGTAGTTTCCATGTTCTCTAGCTTAAGCAGTAATATTTAACTTAAATGAAAATGTTACGGAACAACTACGGGAGCTGTTCTGTTTGTTTGAAGTAATATCAGTTGTAACGGAGAAAATTTGAATCTAAATCGTATCAAATTTGGGATTGACAATGTCAATACGGTGCAGGAAATAAAATTGGCAGTGTACTGTAGAGTTAGCGAAGCAGTGTTAAAGTCAACCATATAAGCTATTAGCAATTCAAAATAGCTGCGGATGAAGATTTGTAAATCGGTACATTTCGTTTATTACATTTACATTACAACTAAATAAATTATTCTCGAATATTTACAAAAGCACAGTGAGTTTAGTCTACTTGAAACAATGATTAATAATCCGGGCGAATTAGACCAAACACATGCCTGTTTCAAAAATCGGGCCTACCTCAAATTTTATGGGCTTAAAATTAAGTAAAATATACACAGAATAAAAGCTTAAATTTGTATATCTGTAGAGGTCGAGCGTCATATTGTTTATAACAAAAGAAATAAAATAATTGGTCTTTTTTTGTCAGTTTTTCGCTTATATCTCCGGAAATAAGCCTCTAATCGAGATGAGGTATACTTATCGATTTTGTTCCTGAGGAAATTTTGTACAAGGATAGGATTTTGCAAAAGCTCGAAAAATTTTTTTACACAGCAAAATTGGCAGTGAAGAAAAAAATGTGCAAAATTTTCAGCATTTATTTAATGAAGAAAGAATTTGACTGAAATTGGATGAAAGTAAACGAAAAGATAACTGTTGGGTTGCTCAACAAATACCCGTAATGCGGACCCCCGATTTCAAAATGGCGACCTACTGCAAAAGTCGAAAATGCTAGCGCGTATATCTTCTGCCCACGTCAAGATTGTATTAAACACTAAATATTTATTTTACTTTTAATATTCTTATAAAAATTAAAAAAAAACATCTTTCGCTAAAAGCAGTACTTATACAGGGTGGCCAAATGAAAACGAAACAGAGCCATTTTCAGGAACCGCGTCAAGATTGTAGAAAAACGCTCAGACAGACCTGTCGATTTTAGATTAAAGGGGGACATTCTTTGCTGGTATTTTTGACTCCGCCACTTTCACCCCCAAGCAAGGGTAAGCATGTATGTAATGTTTATATTGTAACATTGTAACATAATAATGTTTATATTGTAACATTCAATAATATTCTAGACACAATTCACGCAATAACTAACAGTTAATTAAGACAATATTTTATACGTCGACCTCTTCTGAGCACGTTAAATAGAATAATGACCATTTTCTTCAAGGAAATAATTGACTTTTGTTTTTAGATACGTAAAAAGACCTTACTTTCCAAAATATCGAAAGCATTATGAAATTACAAACAAAAACGTGAAAAGTCTATAAAAATGAATAACTGAAAAAAGAGCAATTATTTTTTTTTCTTTTGTTATAAACAATATGACGCTCGGTCTCTACAAATACACAAATTAAGGCTTTTATTCTGTGTATTTTTTTACTTAATTTTAAGATCATAAAATTTGAGTTAGAACTTTTGTCTCAATATCTTAGCCGTAAACCCATTATGTTCCTTTGAATGAATGTTTGATTGTCATTGGATTGTCTAAGGTCTAAGGAGTTGACGACAAATGATTTTCGTTCTGTGAATACGACTCGCGTGTCTCGAACTCTAATAACGACACACTGCCCCTTCTCCCACACAAACCCGGTCAATTAATCACCTCGTTTTTTTTTATTTTCAGAACCATGCTGTCTCTACTAGCTCCTAGAGTGAAACGGGAGCAAATGAGCTCTGAGGACCAAACCCCAAAACCAGACGCATCGTCTTCTACGACAACCTTGCAACCTCCGACCATAAAAGAGGGCTTATCGACAAGTCCAGAACCTTCAGGTGCGGAAATCCCACAGAAACATATCTTTGGTAACAAAACATTTCATCCATCTCATGGTCGTACGACTCCATTTCCGGAACCAGGTATCTAGGTGTTGTTTGATGTTTTGCCACGAGACACCACACACACTGTATACGCCACATGGCAACACAATGATACAGTATCTGGTTTTGCACCTAAGTCACGATCAATTAATTTAATTTTTTTTTTTTTTTGGGCCCTTGATGTATTACATCAGTCTCACGACCATAGATTGTCTGCAATCGAACTCTACGAGTAAGATCACTTCTTGGTAAATTTTCCGCTCTTAGGGCTGTGACTTCATCGAAATCATTTTTTGCAATTTCACATACATTTTTTACATCATATGATGCTTCCCATTTTTCTCAACGATTTTCATTGAAAATGTTTTTCGATATCTCTTCCTGTTTAAAAGATATAGTATGAAATGTATAGAGAAACACTGGTTTGATCAAGTCTGTTACTGATGTTATCAACGTTGCCGTGGAAAACAAGATACATTCACTACTGATGCACATCATTTGTCTCGATAAAACCATACTGATAATTTCGAGCTTCTCCAACATCATAACCATTTCTAGTTTTCTATTTTATCTGTCAAATCCCAAAGATAATACTTTCGACTGAAAATGGAATTTACCTTTTTATTCAAATGTTTTGTATCCTCATTTGAAATTTTAAGTCTTGCGGTTTTCTATTTGCTCTTTCCATTTTCTTATATCTGTTATTTATTATTTAAGAACTTATTGCAAAATAAAATCAAAAAGTTGTCCTTAATAATATTATAATGATTAAAAAAAGTTATAAGATGCTGATTTTATGGGACCCCAGTTTTAAAACATATCAAACTCATCTCGTATAAAGGCGTCATTCGAAAATAGGCCGGCAAACTTGATCCCAAGGCGAGACCAAGTAAAACAACTACCGAACCAACACAGCACACTGTGTATACACTTTACATTGATGTAGACGATCCTATCCTTGAAACAATTCTTGTACAACGACACCACTACCAGCACACACAATAATTTTTCCACCATGGCAATAGCCTACAGTTCCCCACGGCTTGTCCCGCAGAACAGCGTTGGCGTCGCCAGCAAGCGCGTCCTGAGATGGTACCCGCTGTTTCAGTACGCTGTTCTGGGGGCGCTGTTTTCGTGCTTGGATTTTTACCCTGTCGTAAAATTGTTTTCAGTGAAACCCACGAATGAGACGAAGGGCATCGTCGACGATGTCGTGCAGATGGCCCACGACAGAGGGATAGAGACCTGGGTGCTGGTGACCATCTTGATTGGTAAGACGTATTTCTAGTAGTTGAAATCTTTAAAATACACAGGGTGTTTGTAAATAAGTGCGAAATATTTTAGGGGGTGGTTGCCGAAGGTATTTTGTAAAAAAATATAAATATATAAATATAAACGTAGCTCGAAATATGCATCGTTTTCGAGATACAGAGTATTTAAATTTTAATTTTTTATTTATTTTTATTAATTATTTCAGTTTTAAAGATATTGACTCGAAATTTGAGAAACGCTTTGGAGGGATAAATGTGCATTTTTTGGGGTGATCCGAATGTTTCTACTTACACCAGTGGCGTTCATGCGAGAATGCCACAATCTTTTTTAATAAAAAAAAATGGTACGCCACTGACTTTTTCCCGCTTTGATATTTTTTTTAGAAATCCGCTATCAATTCTGGATGAAATTGGTCTCTTCAATTTTTTTCGTAGGATGCACCGTTTTTAAGGAAAAAAATAAAACATATTTTATTGCAAGTTGTGTATTTTTAATTCCTGTATCTAGTAGGTTGCTGTCAATATTTCTAAATAAAATACAACCATCAAATTTCGAGTGAATCTCTTTAAAACTCTTTGAAATAATTAATAAAAATATTTTAAAAATTAAAATTTAAATACTCTGTATCTCGCAAACGAAGCATATTTCGACCTACGTTTAAATGAACTTGTTTTCACAAAATAACTTTGGTAACCACCCCCTAAAATAGTTTGCACTTATTTACAAACACCCGGTATAAACTAAAATCATCCAAACATAAATTGTTGCCATAAGAAACTAGCCTCAACAAACCTCAATAAAATCAAAAAGAAATTGAATTTTACATCTGTCTATATTAAAATTAATTGTGTCTTGTTAAAAAAATGTATTTACACATGATTGAAAAATTCTAATGTAATTCTAATTACTGTTTTTCTATTTGAAACATATTAGCAATAAACGCAATATAAGTTTTTTCACGCTTGAAAGAAAGTTAAAACATTTTGAGTAATAATTTATACATAATTTAAGTAATTTGTATTTAATTTTTGTTAGTTAAACCGTTCATATTTTACAAAGGACGCCCTGTATAATACTGTATTAGTACATTTTTATTTTTCTCGTATTACAAATTTTTGTTAGCCGCATGAGTTGAGAATTTAGTTAATAATACATAAAATGAAGCAAAAAAAATGAGAAACAAAACGCTAGCAAAAGATTTAAGACGGCGAATCATTCCACAAAACATTTGTATAAATTACTCGATATTTTTTTAATTCATAAGTAACCCATTAGCGTTATTTCAATGGATGCAAAACACCGGACAAAATTGTGAATTGGTTGAAATTTTATGTTAGTTTATGTTACGTTTATTTAGACAATAAAATTAGGGATATACAGGGTGAGTCAAAATTCACTCCCCAGCGGCCGGATATATATTCTAAAATAAAAAATAAAACAAAAATGTAGAATACTAAAATCTCGAAAGCGGAGCCGTTTTCGAATAAATTATTAATTTTAGTTCAATAAATGCGCAAATTTTGACAGACTAATCAAGTTGGCCGGACAAAAACAAGGAGTTTTCAATGAGCACAACCTTCATTATTGGCATTATGAGAATCCTCATGAAAAACGTCAGCGGAATCAGCAAAGATATTGGTCTGTAAATGTTTGGATAGGTATTTACGGGAAATGGATCATAGGTCCATATTTTTTGCCAAGAATACTGAATGGTGAAAATTACAGTCATTTTTGCGAGAACATTTTGCCAGGTTTGATAGAAGATATTCCTCTACAACAATGTGCAACATGTGGTTTCAGAATGAAAGTGCGCCCGCACATGCCACATTACAAGTACGACATATTTTGAACTTAATAAATGGATTGGGCGGGGTGGACCAACACCATGGCCACCCCGGTCTCTTGACTTGATTCCTATAGACTTTTGGTTATGGGGATACATAAAAGAAAAGGTTTATTTTACTGTGCCTGTTGGCAGGATTCATGAAGCAGTAGCGGAAATAAATGAAGCTAATTTCTGTTCTGTTGCCAGGAGCTTCTACCACAGATTGCAGAAGTGTATTAACGAAAATGGTAATGGTTTTGAAGGTTAGCCAAAGCCAGAAGGATCTTCGTTTTTGCTATTTCTTATTTTGTATGGATTTAAATTATGGATTTTAATGGCGTTAATATTAAACAAAAAAATTATAAATTTGAATTTTTCTTTACAAAATTTTCCGAAAACGGCTCCGCTTTCGAGATTTTAGTATTCTACATTTTTGTTTTATTTTTTATTTTAGAATATATATCCGGCCGCTGGGGAGTGAATTTTGACTCACCCTGTATAGACGATAATTCTAGACTTTTTCTAGCATTTCGTATTTGTAGATTTTTTCACTTAATATAGATTACATCTGGCTGGGCAAACATGATTTCGATGTGTTATTATGATTATGTTAATGCAAGGTCGTTCTTCTTGTTACTGTTTACTTGTCCCAAATATATAACTCGGTGGATTGTCTTAAAATACTAATTTGTGTATTATGTAGATATGTAGGCTGTTGTAGACTTAAAACTTATAAAATTTAAAAAAGTTGAGCGCTACCATTTATTAATATAAATTTTTATTACAACGTCTAAGGACTTTTTATTTTTCATTTTGAAAACGGGACCCGACTTCTAATACCTTATCTATTAGATTGAAATTATTTCAACGGAAATATTGAACACAATATAACAGAAGAACACATTACTTAAGATCCTTGGTACAGAGTTAAATGTTACCATTCCAAAAATTAGTGATAAATAGTATGTAGGTCACTATGTTGTTGGGAAAATGACAAATTTTTAAAGTAGCACGACTTTTAGAACTGGAACTTCATGGTCAACTAGCTGCTTTGAGGCGTGATTAATTTTGGCTAATGTCAACATAAATGCGAATTATATATGTAACGCTGAAAATGCATTCATAGATAATAGAGAATAATGAAGTTAGAACAGACATTTCAACAGTCGTGATTATTCAAATTGTGAGGTCACCCCGTGCTTAACCTTTATGACCTAGCCAACTCGTCGCAGGTACAGCTTGACTAAACTCATCTCGTTTCATAGGGTTCAAGTCAGGCTGGCAAAGTGGTAATATCTCTCTTCTCTAAAGTGTGACCTTATTTCTGTTAAATTTGATAGACTTCAAGTATTTTAAAAGATGATTTATGCATTTTTATAAAATTATATAACTCTACTTTTAACATATCCGTGACCATTGCTTCATTTGATCCGTTCGACATGCGAAATGTAGGACATTTTTCAACTTGCACATTGTGATGTGGTGAACATGGGGGCTTTGGTATTACTTTCATTTGTAACCACAGTTCATGTCACCTGACTTTTTGACTTTTCGGCATTTAGATTCACTCTTTTCGAGTTTGCTGAAGTTCTAAGCTGAAATAAATACCTGCATCTTTAGTATATCACAAGTGGCGACCTATGAACTCATACGCAAAGTTTGGGAAAAGTTAATAACATTTACAATCCGACTTGGGTACAGTTCTTGTGTACGTCAAGATCTACGATTGGTAAAATTGAACTTTGAAGGTGAGACCCCATCTCGACAAACTCGCAAAACCCAAGCGCATGGGTGACCTACATTACGACCCTTTTCAAAGTCTCCAACTTCGAAACTTCGTGCGATATTGACGTGTGGTTTTTGCTATTACTTCAATTTATACTTATCTGCGAAAATAACAAAACGTCTTCTTCGGGCTGTTGCATATAAAATACCACATATGCTTTATTCTTTATTTCAGCTATATCCGTAATAGTACTGGGAATATGCTTCTGTTGCATAAGAAGATGTGTCCGGAAAAGAAGGCCAAAGGACTCCAAAAAGGTGGTGGATTTCAAGTCGGTGCACATCTTAAGTTCCTCATACAAAGAGAAGGTACGTAAGCAATTAACTAACCTACATTTTTTCACCACATATTGATGCTCAAATAAATGTATTCAAGATAAATTTTTGTTTCGGTGTACAACCTCATCTTTCTAAAAAGATTAAATTAGAAATACTTGAACATAAACATTAAACAAGTTTGCAAAGTCACTTTTTGCTGGATCGTATCTCTTAACTTTTTATGCTATATCAGGAAGTGGTGTCACGTTTCATCTTAATAGGAAGAAGCGTATAGAAACTGAGAAATAAATTGCATGTATCCAGTTTACGCCACTCCGACATCCTATCTCTTTCTAAAAATAATCTGGATTTATAACAGCGTACCCGAGAGACATTATATTTCTTCTTTAACGCTTCTATCATGTGTTTTACTCAAGATATGCAAGTATATATAAGTTTTTATGAAAGTGTACAATTACTTGAAAAATTAAGGCATTACATTAGTTATCTGCAAACATATACAAGTTACGAACTTGAATAGAATATTTGAAACGCAAATAAATCCAGGTGTGAAAACTCGATTATCAGAAATATTTTTTGCAAATACCCACCGATTTTCCATGATAATACGAAGAAACATTTTTGGAATCGCTTGCTGTTTCAAAGGATTTGACTGTAAACTGTCAAGTTTGCAAGATTTGTAGTCCATTCAACATTTTCAAACCTACAAACCATATTTATGAAAAATTCTCTAGGTGCAACCTGACATGGACGATTTAACTGAAAATGCCGAAGAACCGGACGATGGAGAAAAACCAGAGGTCCAAAAATTGGGAAAACTTCAGTATAAGGTATAGGGACAACAACAATTTCGTTCTGTTTCTTTTACCTAACCGTTAAATTTCAGCTCGAGTACGATTTCAACCAAAACAGCTTCTCCGTAACCGTCATCCAGGCGGAAGATCTACCGGCTTTAGATATGGGAGGCACGTCGGATCCTTACGTCAAAGTGTACTTACTTCCGGACAAGAAAAAGAAATTCGAGACCAAAGTCCACAGGAAAACACTGAACCCCGTGTTCAATGAGACTTTTGTGTTTAAGGTAAGATTATCAGATCAGCTTTACTGTGCTATAAATGACACAAAACAATGAAATAAAACACACTGACGATGATAATACAATAAATTGTAAACAAAAGAAAATAGTCGCCGCCAATTGCAGACTTATATTGCACTTAGCCTTAGTTAGGAATCTCTAGCTCTCGGGCTAGGCTGTGTGGTGGCGGAAATCGAGAAAATAAAATCCAGAAAACCGACCAATACTATTTTCCAGAGTCTTCCATACGCCGAGGCAATGAACAAGACGCTGGTGTTCGCCATTTTCGACTTCGACCGCTTCTCCAAGCACGACCAGATAGGCGAGGTGAAGGTACCCCTGTGCACGGTGGACTTGGCCCAGACCATCGAGGAGTGGCGCGAACTCCAGAGCGTCGAAGGGGAAGGTGGTCAGGTGATATCCTAATCAATTACTCATAATAATTTCAATAGTATAGTCCGGTCCTTGCTTCAATCGGATGTTTTATATTTTTCACACCCAGTTCTGACCATTGGATGCTTGCACAAGTTACAGAAGACTTTTTAGCACTTTATCTGCTACACCATTATTGAATTTTCATTCTTACATCCAGAGTACATATCTGTCTCGACTCAGGGTTCTATATTGGTGCGTACGTTGATGGAAAATGGAACCTCCACATCGGAAAACAAAAATTCGATTTTCTTCTGAAAAAAAAAAAACAGCCGAAGTCGATTTCCAGTATCGCAATTCTAATTTTTTTCTCTGATTTAAGTTTATATTTAACAATTATAACATACGTATATTTGATGCAGACATTCTAATTTTTTTATATGCTACCAGTACCTACCAGTAAAGAACCAAATTCATGATGAGAAAGTTACTTTTACGAGAATTTTAAGCTCTAGTAGAGTTAATATGTATTAAAGTTTGCTTGTTTCTTCAACTTTGTTGACATCATTGAAGGCTGTATATTTTTATTATAACTCGACACAATTTCCCACACTTACTCAGCACCACCTCCGACTATGCTGTTTTCGCGAATAAATTAAAACCGAATTCAATCATATTAGATACATACCTATACATGTGTGTACTTCATTGATAACACAAACTAAACACAGTGCTTTAAAAAAATAAATACCTCTTATTAAAATCGTGACAATTACTTCAAAAGATATTAAAAATCTATCAGTTTTTTTATTGGTATTTTATCATACGTTTGTTTTAAAATTTCATCGGTTTTAACTTTCCAAAATACGTCCCTAAATAGTGTGTCATAGTATAGTTCAACTAAACTAGGTCAATATCAAAGCTCCTTAATACTGAGACTTATAGTAGGATCATATTCGATGCAAAGTAATAAATCATTGCCTGTCAAGGGATCCAATGCAGTACGCTTTTAAGGGTTTTAGAAATTGAATAATTTCTTTATACATTATGATGAGACGAAGGGATCAGTTCACGTCTGGCATCCTTGTTCCTACAAAAATTCTTTTATTCTCATAAACTATTTATTTTAAATGTAATTTATTATAAATCCAATTTGTTTTTTTAAATTCCACATATGTACTACATTTTACTTCTGTACACGCCACTGTTATTTACTTGTTTTTTGGAGGCGCTCTCTGATTTACGACTAAGCTCGCCAGGTTAGTATTTGACGTATAACCGACCACTTCCTACACTCGATGCACCTGGGCGACTACGGCTACTACCAGAACACAGTGCGTATGCAGCGGTATTTCATTCAATTTCATTTTAAATATGAAATGAGGACGATGATCTATTTAGACCATGCAAATCGCTGTATTGAATAAAATAAATCGGTTGTGCCAAAAAAAACTTTTTGTTGTTCTTATTTTTAAAAAGTCCTGTTTACTTCGGAACTTTGTAAATTAGTTTCATTTACAATTAATAACTTATCAACGTACGAATATTATTATAGTAAGTGTTTAATAAATCATGTAAAAACAGTACACATATTTCTTTAAACAATAGTACGTTTTTTTAATGTTCGGCGCTTCGACCACAGTGATATTAAAAAAATATGGTGACTTTAAAATGACACGTCACACACATTTCTGTAAGAGTTTCGAACGCGGACGAATTTCCCGATTAAACCGAGGCAAAATGGCATAGTTGGGAGGGCCGGTGCGTTGTTAGAGCTTAAGAACAATTTTTAACACACATAGGCGCCTTGAAAGTATTACAGGAATCTAGAAAGTGCCGACCGAAGCAAAGGTGATCGAGACTAACACACATCCAAACTCAAAGCAGTGGACAAATGTATTGACGTAAACTGTTTTTTCTCTTTTCCCTAAAATTTCTCGCTCTGCTTTTGGTTATGGCTCTGTTATGGTTCGTGTTGCCGACGCTCAATATGCATGACGCTTCCAAAAACGATCAAAATTTCTACGTAAGTATTATTCATCATAAATAAGGTACTTAGTCGGCGTGTAATACATCCAATGGCCGGCGAAATTTACGTCCTCTGGTTTAGGACGAGTCAAAACAGCCACGTTTTTGGTCATTTGATGCATTACCCACACCTCTATGGTCTCGGAAGACGTAAGGTGATAATGGACGTCACTTTTGGGTCATCTTACGTCTTTCGGTGTGTATTAATATTTTTGCAGGAAAAAGCAAGGTGCACTATTTTAATGAGATATAAGTAAAACTAATTTGATCTCAGTTGCTTATTTCTGCTACCTATTCACTTGTAGTTTATACATTTTAATATTAAATTTTGGTTTTAGTTCTATGAATTCCATAAACCCCCCCCCCAAAATATGTAAATACTAAGTAAGCTAATATGTTGCCCTTTTATGAAATTCGTAGAACAACCCCGTTCTTTTAAGCAATCAAAAACTTCTTTAAATCTTTATGCATTAACGTTGATATTTGTTATATTTATAAAAAATAATTTAGTTACAATTATTACAATTATATTTAAAATTGTATCCAAAATAAAAAAATCAAAAACTGCTAAATCCCAATTTATTAACAAACGACTTTTGACTCTAGATTTACTTAATTTCTAAACTGAATTTTGCATTAAAAGAAAAATATTCCTCAACAAAAAAACAGTCTATTTCTGGGGCACTGTCCTGATTGTTTTGGATGCAATGACCTTGTTCAGTAGTTAAGACAATTGAAATTTTCTATTATATGATTGCCCCACAATCTGTTTTCCTTTGTTCCTAAATTTCTGCATATGCATGACCCCTTTTTTTGGCATTGCATTTGGCTGGTACTTGTTTTTAAAATCGTTTTTTAATGTTGTTATCGAAGTTAAAATAACTGAGATAATTAAATTAATTTAGGTCTGCGTGTACAAATCTAGCATGCCAGCACCATTAGTTAGTTCCAAAGGCACAGTACATTTTTAAAACGAAGGGCCTTCCGGATGAAATCAACTCGAGATAATTTCGTTAAATGTTAAAGTTAGTTCAGTAAGTTCTGCAAGAAAAAAATTGACGATGGCGAATAATAACAAAAATCGTGGATGGAAGGATAGAGATTTACATTATTTCACATCTAGTAAATGTTGTAACAAATAATATACTGAGTAGCGGGACATAGGCGTACGCATTATTTATTAAAAAGCAACAAAGTAAATTGTCTACGATACACCACCAACGGATAGGAATTAATTACGCAACATTCGCAGCAAAGGCAACAGTATACTAACTTGACGTGAACGTAAAAAGCATTCTGAGGCAGCGACTGGCGCATGTCTCGGTTGATCCGCTTGGCACGCCATTGAATTGCGGCTCTCTGACAGCACTAATATAAAGAGTGGATAATTAGAAAAAACTACAATACTTAATGAAGTATGAAACAAAATTGAACCAATATTAAGGCACTTAAGTAAAAAAATGACACATTTTAAGACGGTTTTTGCGATTAATAAATCAGGGCGGATCTGGTTTGAGGTTTTTGCACTAAAATTAGAATTCTTTCGGAGCAATTAAAACATTTTAAAAAAATTATCCACAAAAAACGATTGTTTGCCTTTTTTTCATCAATATTCTATTTTGCAACATCGGTAATAAATTTACACATTTTTAACTTCCGGTATATTGTGCAAAATTCAATTCTAAAACTTTTTTTCCTCTTCAATATTCTTCCAAAATGCATGCGTTCCAAACATTTTTGCAATTTTGAAAATGATCCGGACCTCGCCCAGATCTACACTTTTATTATGCGAGTTATACTGAAGGTATTCCAGCAAAAATTAGCTTGCCCCTCTTACATGGGATATTTCAAGAAAACTAATAAAAACTATCTGTGATTAAATAAACGCTTAAAGGATGTCCGCGGTATAAGTGCCTTATGCTGAATGAGCATCAGAATACTGTAATATAAACTTAAACAGTCTTATGCGATAGATCCTACACTTCAAAGAAATTTTAAAAGAAGCTTAAAGTTTCTCTGTTGATCGAGTGAACAAAATAATACACCAATAACACACTGATGACAATTTAACATCACGACTATTGCCGATCGAGATAGCGCAGTTCAGAAAACAATAAAAACAACAGAAAATGGTAGACTGGCTATGTTGCAGGATTGTTAGACTTAAAATAAGCATAACTAAAAACATCACGAATGCTAGAAGCAAACAAATTTAGCCATTTTATTCTGAAAATGTTGTCACCATGCACCAGTATTAAACGTAGGGCATTTATACTGCGAATACCTTGTATAAACTCGGTGAAATATTGTCAGAAAAAGTAGTCTATAAATCGCAAACGAAACAAAGTTTATTAAAGTTCCCCCAAAAAGAACGTGCTGTTTTCACTTGCCTAATATTATTTATTTAAACATTTTAGGCTTTTTAAAATATTTAGAAATCTATTTTCGGTCCTCAAATATTTACTAATATACTTCGAGATCGAAACGAATATAAAAACAAACCAAAATGTATTTTTAGCTCTGCTGTTTAAAAAAAAGTGTTTGATTATCTCTGGAATGCCCTGAACATATCTCTGTTTAGCTGTTTGTCATTTATTGTTAAAATGGAGACCCTGAAGTCTATCTACTTAAGGTATTTTATTCTTTTCCAAACATTTTATACAAGATTTTTCTTAGCATTTACCAACAGACTTATATATATTTTTTTATTAGTAATTGACCATTTTTTTATTACAAACATATAGTGTTAGACCCTGTACTGTGTTAGTTTTTTAACAGATTAGATTTTCTCAAAAGATTTGGTTTGAGCTGGGTGTTTAGAGAAGAAAATTAACACTAGGAAGAACCTAAAAACATTGCAGACATTATTACTTTCAGATACAATCTACTCACGTGATACAGTTACTAGTACATTATACAATAAAAGCCAAAAGGTAATATGGATGCCACCAAATCTAACGATTTTATTTAACACATCATGTTGTACTTAAAGAACATCCAGGCTGGTTGAAATTGGACATTAAGCCCCCTGGTCGGTATTCATATTTGCATCAGATAGAAAGAGATGCCTTCGTAGTAACTCTGTGATGGCTTTGACTTCATTTCTAATAATTCGGTTTGGTTTCATAGTTCGTAATAAATCTGCAGCTTTAGTTCTTATTTTTTCCGCCACCTCTTGGAGGAAACGTCGATGTGTGGTTTCTTTTTAAGAGAACTATTGATCTCCCGAAACGTAATAAACAAATAAATCTTAACAAGGCTCTCTATATTATTTATAGAATCTTGGTGGTTTAATCTAATCTAGATTTCGATGTACCTTTGTCTATACAAGTCAGTGTTTCAAAAAAATATGATTCTTTGAAACAAACAATCTCACAAGTTAAATAGAATCGTTAAGTAACGTGATATCCATCTCATGGGGGTCAACAGACTGCAAAAACTGATAATAACAACCGCAAACATCTGTTGACCTAATGATACTGGTTTTGGCGAAGCTTCTAGGCATTATACCTACACAGTGCTAAATGTATGACATTTTCAGTTCCACACAAATCTGATTGTTGTGTCCCCAGATATCCTCCGAATATAATTTCTCAAATTCCCCCCCTCCCAACCCCTCTGCCCAGGTCCTGTACAGTGGCATACGCAGAAGAGTTGGAGAAATGCAAAATAGGACTAAAAAAAGTAGCATGTGGCGTAATCTAACCCTCCGGAAAGATTTTCTCTTGCGTACGCCTCTGATCTCACTACTGTTTAAGCTTGACCACACTACTCTTTGATTGCGCATGCGTATAGGGACTTGTTTTTTCGATTTCTTTTAAAGGATCTGTTATATGTTTCCCAAATTTTTGTCTCTTGTGTGACAGTGTATTTTCGTGTTTTTTAATGTTTTTTTATCTGTCTATTCGCATTCGAAGTACCAGTACCTCATTATTCATATCCTTTCACAGTTTGGGTTGTTACGAGTTGCACGTCATCGGCATAGGCTGGTCGGCGTTTCCAGAGACATGTCGTTCTCTTTTTCAGAAGAAACAGTGAAACGAAAGATTAACTCCTCTGGTTGGTATTTTAATTCCTGTGTATAAGCTTCAATAGAAGATTGAAGAAGCAGAAGTGTCGTTTGAAGAAGACAACATACAAAAATGAGCAGAATTCTGGTGCAATAGACAAAGAGGTGATATCAATCAAGATGAGGGATTAGGTCTACCTGTAATTTGGAAATAATCATCCCTAAAAATAAGGACTAGATCGACAATGAAATACCAACCAGCGGACTTAATCTCTTAGTCTCAGAATTCCTCAAGAAGATAACGATATCACTCTAACGGCAAAAAGCTTAGACCGACCATCTCAGAAACTGTTCAGTTAATGGTTATGTTATTCAAATGTATAGCTTATTTCCAATATAGCTTTTGAGATAAATATCCTCAGTTTTTCTGCAACCATAAATAGTCTACAATGTTTCTTTGTAACAACCCAACAATTTGCAAGTTTTGCGTCAAAACTTAAGGTCCGAACGCCATGGAAAAAATGTCAAAAGCATCGCAAACAAACGAATACTGTGATTAAGCCGGAGCCTACTTAATATAGTTTATTCTTGACAGGACCTAAACTTACACTAGCCAAGTTTAGGCATAGGAACCGTTAAGAATAAGCTATGTGAAACAGATTGTTGTATTTAGGATGTTCACACACTGTTTTCTCTAAAAATGAACGTAGATAGAACCAAAATATAGGAATGGATATCCTAGCAACTGAATTGGTGTAACACTACTATCCCTCAAATGCACCGTCTGTTTCACTTTTAAGTTCGGCTCCGAAATACTGATCGATTAACGATATTTTTAGTTCACTGTATTATGTGACGTTGTAGGAAAACAAGCTGGGTGACATTTGCTTCTCTCTGAGGTATGTTCCAACAGCAGGCAAGTTAACCGTCGTGATCCTGGAAGCTAAGAATTTGAAGAAGATGGACGTTGGCGGATTGTCCGGTATAACGCTTTTCTTTAACAGAAATCCTTAAGAAACCACAATGTAACCGAATATCAGTTCAAAATTTCAATGCAATGTAGAAAAATTAAAATCTGTTCCTCCACGATAATTAAGGTAATAATCGCACTTTTCCAAAACAGATCCCTACGTGAAGATTGCTCTCATGCAGAACGGCAAGCGGCTTAAGAAAAAGAAGACGAGTATCAAGAAATGCACTTTAAATCCATACTACAATGAATCGTTTACGTTTGAGGTACCATTCGAACAAATACAGGTGAGCAGCTACGTCATTCTCCATATCCATTTGAAAAATTTTAAAGATTATAGATTATTTCAGTTATAAAAATGGTTTTATCTTCCAGAAAGTGAATCTGGTGGTAACAGTAGTGGACTACGACAGGATTGGAACATCTGAACCAATCGGAAAAGTCGTCCTAGGATACAACGCAAGCGGAACAGAACTACGTCACTGGTCGGACATGCTGGCATCCCCTCGCAGGCCGATCGCACAGTGGCACACACTTAAGGACCCAGAGGATGAAAAGAAAGACTAAACCAAACGTCGCTTACAACGCTGATTATTATACTACATAAGGTACCTAAATCATTTAAAAAACTGTTTGATATATAGAAATTTGAGATATAAAGCCTGAATATGACGTCACTTCAACGTAGTGGTAGTAGTTTCACTCATAAGATTTTACTTTTCCAGATTAATTCATCAGATATATGAACCCCCCAGTATGATGTAGGCCCTTCATCCAAAGATATGATCATATAAATGTGTACAACATCTTAGATGTCATTGTTTATTACTAATTTTTGTCTTCGACTTATGCACTGTTGTTGATGTTCAACTGTTATCGGTTCATTTCCAAGAGTTAAAAGCTATTACTATACTTACTACCAATATAGACATCCTGAGATATACGCCTTTAAAGTTATTAAACGAAGCTTATGAAAACATTTATATCGTAAAAAGAGATATATCTGCACAAGTGGCTTTTCAGATATCGGTTCGTTTATCATTGTATACAGCTCTAATATTTGGCTTTGTTTAAAATCAGTTTGATGAAATAACAAACTCGACAAGGTACAAAAAATTGAATATGCGGGCTGTATAAATGTACATCAGTATTGTGTTACATGACAAATAGATTCTTAATTCCAAAATAGCTTTTCATTCAGAACCCAAATTCGATATTGAGGAATTGTGTGATTTAATGAAGTTTTTAGATTTATTTACCTAATACTATTAATTAATATAAAATTAACGGACTGTCATGTATGAAAACATATATGGCAAATAATAGATGGTAGAATTAAAACTATATTAATAATGACAATAGAAATTTAGCTCATAGATCATGTAAAAATACGTTAGTTTTGTTGGGGTTTTTATAAAATTATGCACAATATTAGGTGAAACCTTGCAACAACATTTTATTTGACCTAGTGTTGTTGTGAGCAAGATCAACACTTCTAATCCAAATTGTAAAATATAAAGTAATCGGAGAACCATTTCTGTGCAGAAATGATGGTGAATGTTTAAAATGCATAGTTTGAATTTTATATTTTGGATTAGACGCTCTATCTAGACGGTACCAAAGAGACAAAATATACGTAGGTTGTTCATTATTACCGTCTAGTGAATAGCTAAAACCGGAAGTCCGAACCAATAGGTATTTTATATTTAGTTTATGTATATTTAGCGAAAATAATGTAATCTAATAAGGTTATATGATTGTAAATATATTTCAATTTTATTAGATTATTTTATTACTCAGTGAATGATATTCTTCCTTATCCTTTCTTCTGATTTCCCGAGGAAACTTAAATGCAAGCTTTATTTAGATTTTTCGGTGTACTCATCCACGAGATTTTGCGTAGTATCAAACTATGATGGTGTTAGGAAGCTATATAAAGTCATTAATTTATTTCAAGTACTCTAACAAGGCAAAACTTTCTTCAGGAAATCAGAAAATTACTGTACATACCTATAAATAATGTTAAAATGTTGTGTATGATATAAAAAATATGTAAACTTATATAGTAAAAGTGTTACGGCCCTTTATACTTAAAAATCAATGTACCCCTAAACACCACTTTGGGCCCAAAATGTTTAATACTGATTTAGAGATTTTTAATCAGGCACGTAGAGCTTTATTTTACACTAATGATAACATTTTGTGTGGTGATAAATCTTTAGTTATAAATACCTACGATGGACAAGAAAAATTATTTTTTTTGCAGGCCATTGAAAAACCTTATATCTCTAATTGCTTGGAGTCGAACATAGGTAGCTACATAATGAATTTTGGCCAAAAAAAAGACTGCCTAAGTAAGATTTTCAAAGTTTTGGAGATTTATCAATGCTTTTCTTTGAATAGGACCTATTGGAAGAGCTTAAATTATGAATATTCTGATACCTACCCACCTAAACTTATTTCTCTTTCCTGTAAAGCTATCGTGAACACTTCTAACTTTAAAATAATTTTTTTGTGTCCAAATATGTCGATGAAGGTTTATAATAGAGGAGCACCAGCTTAATGGAAAGGCAATATGTAGAGATTGAGATTGTAAAAATAAAATGAAATAGACAATGTACGTATTTTAAATAGTTTAGTTTTAGTGAAAGACAAAAGACTTCTATATTATCAGCTTTTCATAATACCTAGCTAGCTATAGCACTTATTATTATTACCCCAGTTAATTTTTAAATGTTACTCTATAAAGAACAATAAAAATTGATTATATTGTGGGAAATAACAAAATGTGGCAAATCATGCTCTTGTTAAGTAGACAAAATAAATCATATCACTCGTCCTGTTGATGATTTTTTATTTTGACTGTCTTACTGACACAGTTTTGTATGTGTCGAAGTGATGTATGTGATAAATGATGAATAAAGATGCAAATAAATACGTCAATATGAAACAAATACAAAACAACAGTCGAGTATGTTAACTACATAATACGTGATTATTATGTTTTACTTGCCTGTGACGTTTTCTGCATTGGGTTTATAGTTTTTTTTGCTAGCATTTTTCCTGATAGTTTTGATATTTAAAATAGTACGTGAAATCTTCAACACCAGCATATTGTTCACAAGTGTTCAGGTCCTATACACTCACAGGCACACACTTATATTTGTAAACTGCACAAATTCAATAATTGATTTCGAATTGGAAAACAAAATCGAGGAAAATTTCAAAATAGTGATAGTACCTCCATCTTTATAAGCGATACTATACTAAACCCAAAACCAAGGTAGTAGTACGCATGAGCTCGTTTGAATGAAAATCAAGGTTTGCACAGAAGAGGTTTCCTCAAAAGTAGGTACCATAGATTTAAGAAGCTAAAGGTAGTTGATAGTGAAGGGCAAAACGGGTCATTTTTAGGATTCGGGTCACCGGATCCGGGTCTCTTCAATGAGCCGAATCTATGATCCGGATCCCGGGTCGTCGGGTCGGTCGCTTCGTTCTGGATCCGACGTTGACTGAACGGTTCTGGTTGTGGGACTGTATTAGAATCTGGGGTATTAGTGCTGGGCGATAATATCCGATGTTTGGAAAGCATCGATGTTTTTCTGTCGATGGTTTGTCAATTGTCATCGATGTTAGAAAGTTCGAAACATCGATTCCAATATCGATGTTTGCCTTTCGATGTTACTTGCATACATCGCAAAAAAGAGCAGTTCTTTAGTAATAGTAATATTTTATTTGACACAATTGACACAAATCAAATATAATAGTATATTACATTATAGATAAGCATAAGGCCGTTATATAGGTATATTTTATGTTTTCTTGAACCTTTTGAATCTAAAAAAATTGTTGTTGTTGTTGTTAGACATGAAGATCCATTGCTGTGGTGGTATGAAAGGAAAAATATATATCCAAAATTATATCATAAATAGCTATTATATCCACTTATCAAAAAATAAAAAAACGATTTAAATAAATAAAATATATCCTTAAAGGTTGCAAGGTAAGTTAGTAGAAAGATAGGTATCTAAATATCTACTAAATCCTATAGTCTACATTATTTTTCACATAATAATTCACTTGACATGAGAGAATAAAACTGTTTTTATTTTACTAAACAAAATCGAGCAGCTGATGGAAATAACGAGCCAATAAAATATATCATAATCATCTGATGTCACCGCTCTCGCTACTGCAGGTGGCTCAGCCGCATGAATGGGCAGAACGGGTCATCATAATGATTGATCTAGATGACCCGGGTCACTAAAATACACGAGTCTTCCCATCACTACATACGGGTCTCGGGAGCGGCGGCGTACTCCGTAAACCTCTGCGATCAATTTCATTACATAGTGCCACAGCACGGCCATACGAGATTAGCTGAGGTCCGCGACCCGAGTGATCCGACAGAACTTATATCGGGATTCGGGTCAGTTAGATCATCGTAAAGATCCGAATCTTTGATCCGGGTCAGACCCGACCCGCCCATCACTAGTAGTTGAACAACCCAGTTGCGCAGCTAAGTTGTATTATATACAAGTTGACTCTGTCCTCTAATAACCTATGTCAGCCATACGCGGAGAACGGCAGACTTTGCAAACATAAAAAACTATGCATAGATATGTTCTAGCATTTATTGTATCTACATCTTCCAACCTCAATAGTGGTAACCAATAAGCAGTCGACGCGGCAAAAAATGTTTTTAAATTTTGCATAGTTCCATTTCCTCAAAATGAATGTATCATCGATGAAAGTTAAAGTTATAAATAACAATGGAATGGATAATTAGAATATTCAACTTAGGTATTGTAAATATTTATATTGTCAAAAGGTAAAGATTTGATATTTAGAAAGATAATTGCAAATAATGGTGTATATGAAATGTCAATATAAATTTCTATAATGAATTTGTCACATTTAAAATAAGAAATAATGCAAGGTCAGGCTTTACCATAACTATATTTCATTGCAATCAAATAGTGTGTCATTTCGTAGAAAAGATATTTAAAAATGCCTGTGTCTACCCGTTTCTTGTACATCACTGTGCATAATACACTGATAATCTAACAATTTCCTTTTTTTCTCAACAGAGGTTTTTTAGTCTAGTTCAATCAATTTGTCCATAATTTGAGTATTTTAAAATTTTGTTATATGTTAGCGAAATGAAACCACAACTTCATTTAATTATTTAGAAATAAAACTATAACATAATTCAACATACAATTAAAGTATCTGAAAACATATATAACGCTTATAACTAAATGCCATAAAGTGTCATTTATCCATCCCTGTAGTAGCGTCTCTTGAGAGTTCTGTACTTTTTAAGCATATAGAGCGTTTCTACTTCCTTAACTATGTACTGGGCATGTGCTATCAGTTTTTCAATTTTCTCCGGATCTTTCTCGTCTTTATTTTTCATAAATGCACCATGTAGCCTTTTACGGAAAAAGTCAAAACCATTTGGCCAGTCTCTTCCTAAATAAAGAAGCTAAAACACAAGTAAAACAATTAAGAAAGGGTAGCAATTCTTCTGATATCATCTACCGTCTTATAAAGTTCTATAACTCTAGCTCGTTGGGACATAGCAGACGTTAGACCTAAAATCAGAACGAGCATTGTCTACATAGTTTTCTGGTGATATTAATGTATTTCAATGCACTTAATAACATTATAATTTCAAATGTAACAATAGAATTTCGAGATGCAGACAGAAAAAAAAATTGTTAAGTAAAATTATTAACCTGGATGTATAATATCTAGAAGTAACTTTGATTAGTAAATAATAAGATTCGTAAGATCTAAACTACAAATAATTATCTTTTTAAGTTCAAGTCCAAAGTTTACAACACAGATTTTTTTATAGGTTTTCTACATTGTTTTCAAAATACTGTGAATTGAATGTCAAAAGATCAGGTGTACAAAGTATAAATAACTTCCTTATTTCGGTGGAAAGAGTATTGGTAGAGTAAATGGTGTAATAGTTAGTAACTCACAGTCAAGAATTTACAAAAATAATAAAAATATTATGTGCTTAGTAGCTTGAAAGTTACGGTTTTCTTTATTAAATTTATCAATTAGTATTGACTTGTGTACAGTTCTTAGTTTAACAGTTTAAATGACGATGCACAGATTAGAATTATTATTTTAGAATTGGTAAGTGCTGCAATGACTGCAATGTAGGAGAAAATTTTTATGGACGCATCGGACAGAAATCTGTAGGTTGGCGACACTGTTTCCCCTAAATGTCAAATCAAAGTTCTCCATATGGTAAACATAACCTTATTTATCGTCTGTTTTTAAAAGTGATGTTTGAAATAATGTGCAATTATAAACATGTAGGATCAGGAGAATAAAGGAAGCAACTTCAAATAAACAAATAGGAGTTCTGTAATAAACATAAATTATGGAGAATAAGATTCAGACACAGACTGACACCAATTTGAGGGCTATGCTAAATAGCCCTGCAAGATTCACCCCAGCTGTACCCACTCCAGATTGGAATTCTACTCCAAGTCAACCTGCCCCTAGCCAAACTACTCCGACAAGCGTACCTGCTACGGTAATTCTATAAAAATGAATTCTAACCGTTTTAGTTTTGACGAAACTATTCACTAATTCTGATGCAACATGTCGAAATACGAATACATGCAAAAATACTATATTATATTTTTCAGCAAAATATATAATGGGACATTTTTAGGCACCGTCAATAAAAACCAATGCCTCCATTATGACCGTGGCGACTCCAGGATCTGCCGTCGGAGAGCCGCACACGAACATCACACTGCAGTAAGTAGATTTGATTTAAAACTACCCACATGTACCTATACTTTCGTAGGAACTGTGTCGCCACGGTGGACCTACATACGATATTAGACCTGCAGACGATCAATGCTCGGACGAGGAATACAGAATACAACCCGCGCCGCTTCCACGGTGTTATAATGAGACTGAGAGAACCTAGAACCACTGCACTTATATTTAGATCGGGAAAGATAGTGTGCACGGGGGCAAGGAACGAACACGACGGCCTATTAGCATCGAAGAAATTCGCTAGGATCATTCAAAAACTTGGATTCAACGTTAGTATATGTCAATAAATTGAGGGACTGTGATTATAGTAATTTTTTTAATTTTCAGGTGCAGTTTGCGAATTTCAAGGTACAAAATTTGGTCGCAACGTGTGATTTAAGGTTCCCGATTAAGCTGGAGAATCTAAATATGATGCACGGGCAGTTTAGTAGGTAAATATCTTGAATTCACACAATCTTTCTTCATAGACCATATTGTAATATTTTTTTCAGTTATGAACCGGAGCTCTTCCCTGGGTTGGTATACAGAATGATCAAACCGAGGCTGGTACTGCTTATTTTTGTCAACGGGAAGATCGTTTTTACCGGGGCGAAATCCAGGCAAGACATCAAAGACGCTTTGGATAACATCTACCCCATCTTGAGGAGTTTTAGGAAGAACTAATACTTAGCCAATAATATTTGTTATATATTTTTTAGTCAAGTCTTTATAAGCTGTAAATCTTAAGGCCTTTCCGACTAATTCAAGCGCAACATCTTTTATACCGTTATATATTTTTTAGTTCCTTTTTTATGTCCAATAAAGTGTTTTTAATGTTGTTATTTATTAATGGGGGTCATGGGAAATAGATTTTTTTTTAGTATGAATACAAACAAATTAAACACTAATTATCAAAATAAAAGAATTTTGCAATTATTTCACCTTATTATTTTCTACAATGAGTTTTTGAGTGGTCAAACGAGCGTTGAAAAAACAAAAATGATGTGAATTTACTCTGCAATAATATTATTTAGGGTGTCCCAGAAATAAGTGTCAAAATTTTAACCACTAATTAAACATATAAAAAGCTACAATTTTTGTCCGATAATTTTTTTTTTAAACAGTTTTAATTGTTTTAAATTTAAAATTTTTATTACCCGCCAGTAAAGCATAACTTGAAATGCTTAGTTGATTTCACATAAACTAAAATGGGAATTAATATAGTATTTAAATGTAATAAAAAAATGTGAGTTTTCAAAAAAAACTAATAGACAAAATTTATTGCTTTAGTTTTAAATAGGTAGTCAAACATTGTGTACTTATTTGACTTAACAAGAATAACAGGAGGTGACATCTATAACATTAATTTAAAACTACTCTCATAGAGAAAAGCATAGACACAAGGAGCAAGAACTCCATGTAAACAAATATCTTACCAAATTAGAGGGCGCTAGTGTCCCACATAGCCAGAAATAATGGTGGGAAGATAAAGGAAGCGGCAGTTTGAATTAAATATCAATCATGCCGTTTTTGTGCTGTGTTAAAATCTTTAAAATAAATAATGTAGGCTACTTTGAATTAGATAAATAAATCAATAAATAATGAAAATATGTCGATGTAGAATATAGATCTTATAAACTACTAGGTTTAGTTTACTCGGCCTATGGTGTACAAGGAACATTAGCGACCCTAGCGGTAAAAACTATAAGTAATTTCTACTACTACATTTACATTGACTAATTTTGTCAATTTTCCCGTATGAGTATGAGTTCATGCTCCTTGTCTAGTCTCTAGAAATGTTAAAAAGGTATTAATAAAAACCAAATGATCAAATATAATGATAATATCACTGGCTATAAACACATTTGCTGAAGCATGACGTCACCAAGGAACAATTGACTCACGTTCGAACACAAATGAGCTATATATTACATATATACAGACAATTTAAGTTAATAGTGATACGTAATACTTATAGTTGTCAAATTTACATATAAATCGTGTTTAAAAAGTTAGTTTTATCGTTGTATCGTGTCACTTCTACCATTATGTATAAGTATTTACTTATACAATGCTTCTATACCTACGAAAAAAAAAAAACGTTCAGCGTAGAGTTTCCTCGCAGCTAAATATAATTCGTTATTACAACTTCCGATTAATACTGTGCCTATTTTATTTTGAACTTCCGTGAGTTCGGGTAATTATGAAAAATTAATAAGCCGAACCGAAAATAGAAGAAATTGGAAGAGACAACGTCCATTATTTAGCTAAAGCTGTAGGAATCGGAAATAACCTTTCTAAAAATAGCACTAATAACTTGAAATGAAATCGAATTTTCACACCAAAGGAGTCCGTATTTCAGAATAATAAAATGTATTATGCTTTGTAACTACCAGTAATTACGAGAATAAAAAGTTAAAATCAAGTAAGGATTATAGCCTAGATTTCTAATTTTATTCTAAGAAAGTTAATAAATTAGTAAATTAAACTATACATATTATCAAGGTGACAAAATTCAGAGGAAACAAAGGGCAACAAATTTCTTCTTTATCTTTCGGTTATAACACAATATAATTGCTTTGTATCGTTGTTGCTCTTCATATTGACTTTATTGAAATTTAATTGAAATGTGCATTCACTTGTGATTACAAGTATCTGTTAGTGGCAGGTATATATTTCATTTGATTTTTCCACAAGGAGAAAATTACTTAATAGCTACTGTATCTGATTTTGCGTAACAGAATTGTCTCCGTTACACAACCTTGTGGAGCTTTTATTAGGCGATGGGGGCGTTATTTGTATATAATCGGATATGCGTTTCAATGTGTTATCAAATGCTTATAATTGAAAAACAGTCTACAACTTTCCCTTCCGGCATTTTGAATGCGGCAGCGCCATCTGTTCTTACAAATTTTCTATTTTCTATTGCTCCGAATGGTGGTCTATGCTCCAAACCAATACAAGTACAAGAACTCTATGCTAATGTATCTCCTCAGTATTGTGCTTCTTCCCTCCATTTTCAGAGAGGAATTTTATTACCGTCAAGGCACATTATGCATATTTGTTGCCATTATGACAAATCAATAATTCCTATTACAATTTGTGTCAAATATAATCTTTTGTCTGTTTTGGTCAAAGCGCAATAATTAAGATGAGTGTAAATTGTCTCTGTTTTGACGTCAGCAGACCTTTCGAAGCCATCAACAACTCGTGACGCCAATGGTACGTCGTCTTGGTTACAGACGAGACGATCTATATCGCAAGTTCGAAATATAGACGGTAATAATACAAATCAAGCCATATGTTTTCAAAACAACTGTTTTCATTATTCCGATACATACTCACGCATGAAAAGTTTTATTGGAAGGATAAATATTACGAATTAAATGTCCACAAATATTTGACTAATAATATATGTACCTACATACCTAATTTTTGGAATAGTAGGTAGCTATTTAATTGTGTCAAAATACTCGAAAAAACTGTTGGTGGAAATGACAATAATTTCTTTTGGAATAATGAATTATATTATAGTAACCAGTATAACGAAAATATTACCTATTCGAGTCAAAATAATTTTTTCGTAAAACTACTACAATAATTATCGTTATCATCTATATAATATATATTTCAACGCACCAATCACCAGTAAACAAAAATGAACAAGCGCAATTTATTTTTCATATATTGGTACTACTGAAAACCAAATAAAAAGTTGAACGTCGAATGTTTGGCGGGCATCACTAATAACATGAAACCCCCAAAGAAGAAATTACTGTCAGTTATGTTACCGTGTCAGTGTAGCAATAAATATTTAATTATTTTTCTAATTTTTTCGCTTAGTGACTTACGAGTTAACATTCTTGGTTGTTTAGTTGTTAGTGTGATTTCACAGTGCAAATCTTATTTGGAGGTCTATGAGGAGGTCTACGATGATTCAACAGATGAGTCTCTAAATATTTGCCCTAATTGTCAATTAACAGGTTAATGAGATTGCATCAGTTTAAAAATTCACTTCCTTTATTGCAACTGAATCTATTCAATCGGTTTTTAGATACATATTTTTTTATTCTGTTCCTAAGTCTTGCGATATGGTAGGGCCTGGTGTGGAAGAACATTTACGGCCTCTATAAAAAAATATACACAAAGCACCTCCTTGCTCAATGTCGCTGAAGATTAGTGTGTATTCTCCCAGGAGTAAAAATAATATTCTTTCTCCTCGGTATATAGAGTCGCCTGTAAACCATTTTTTATTTTCACCCCGGCAAAAGAATCAACGAAATAAATATAAGAATAAGTTATATTTAAATATCCATCATTTTTTAGACATTTCAGGACATTCATGAGTTTGGATATTTTTTAAATTAAAAATCAGCGTCTAGCAAAAATATCGTAGGTACCTTTACATTGAAGCACAAATGTGTATTTTGGTCACATAATCATAGGATAGGTTCGTGTACGTAATAATATCTAATATACCTAATACATACACGAAAACAGTGGTTTTAATTTTATTTACCTGTATAAATATAATTACAGCGTCATAGTTCATAGTTAAATTATATACTTTTGCTGGTTAAAAATAGGAAATCAATAGATAATTTACGATGTTATAAATTATAAATATTAATAAACTGAAGTGTGGAATCGTATTTTCCTTTACGTGAATAATTGAAGCGAATGATATACCTAATAGAAATAAATGTCCACGATATATTTAAGCATTGTTCTGGTTAATATCAAACGACCAGATAAAAATAGGAAGTCGGTATCGGAAATCGAGGAATCAATGATCAGTATATGTTTGACTTTAACAACTTTAACTTAATGAAGTTGGTGCTCTTTTATAAGTACTTGTTTGGGAATTCATTGCACCTTGACCTCAGCTTTATGTTGATTTGTTTGTTTTGAAGTTAGAAAAACAATATTTGACTTGATACAACTGATAGTTTTTTTATAACCAGTATTACTGCTTATACTTTTTGCAACAACAGCTTATTGATAATATTTTCTTTTTTTAAAAGATTATTTCAACGAACTTTTTATCAGAGATATTATTCACCAAAATTAACCCTTGTTCATTCCTATTGTCTCAAAATCCTGCCAAGCATCGCGTGTTTCCCCAGCACATGTGTGCCACCTTATCAAAGCCGTAAACACGCTTTGTTTTTTTTTATTATTAACTTCCTGAAAAGATAAGTTTGTTTTATACGTACAACACAAAAGCTATTTTTACCTGCAAGTTTAAGCAAGCCATGCCGAAACCAGATTTTTCCGCCCAGATAAGGTTAATGAGGAAAATAATTAGAACGATATTAAATTCCTCCAGCTCTAGTGGGTTTTAAATTCTGGAGATCCACTGTGGATTTTGGGCTTATCGTCTTTTGTTTTTGAGATACCGGACGTTAAAGAGAATTTTTTGAAATCAAATTTTAGCCGTATCGTTTCCAAAAAATATCCCCATTGGATGCATTGAAATTTGATACAGATACTTTTTCGAGGAACGTTAAAAGAATTAGTGTTATTCGTTTTTTATCCTCTGCTAGTAGATCAGGGCGGATCTGTTTTGAGGTGGATGTGAGAGGGAGCAAGCAAATTTTTTCTGGATTACCTTCGCCCAAATTTAAAAACTTTGAAATCAGAAATAAATAATAAAAATCATTAATTTGAGTGCGACGCCTTGTTTCGTAGTATCCGACGATATCGAAAATCTTTCAGCGACGTAAATTTCCACAGCCGGTATTAATCCACCCCTGACATCTAATAAAGAAAACTTCCCTGCCTTCGGGCATTCCCTCGTAACGGTAATGGCATTGGGAGCGCGTGTATTTAAACAAC